ATTCTCCCTTATAACGACCGCCACCCCCCCGCCCCTACCCCGGGCCCTCGGCTGATGGAATGCTTGGAAACCTGGTGGGCATAGATCAACAAGGGGAACTCCCCCTTCCATGCCCAACCAGGTCTCGGTGATACCCGCCAGGTCCGCTCCCCCCTCTTGAATCAGTTCTTGAATGAGGGGGGCCTTATTTACCACGGACATAAATGGGAAGTTTTCCTCCAAGGGAGAAGATTTGTTCTGCCCCCCCTTCGCGGAGGGAGCCGCTGAGGCTACACATTCAGATCGTTTCACACCAAGGCAATATGGACAAATTAATCCTCGCAGTTGTGTCTGTGCTGCGTGTGTCCACGTGTTAGAAACTGCGTGGGATGGGAGAGAAGGGAGGCAATCTGTTGCTTCCTAGCAAGCTTTGGAAATCATGTCCAGAAGGATTTCATCGTAGTATTTATTCCCTTCGTTCATCAATGGCCTGGTGGATTGCCCAAATGCCAACACTCAAACACACGACACACAACTCAGCCCCAAAATTCAGGTTGCTAAGGGAGGCATTTGTTAAGCGGGTTTTGTCCCATTTTACGGACTTTGCTCGCCACGTTTGTGAAGTGAATCGCTGCAGTTTCTTAAATTAGTAACGTTGTCCTTAAGTCAATCAGGATTCCCCGTTGACTTTGTTCGTCAGAAGGTCGCCAAAAGGGGAATCACTAACCCCCGGGGGTCACTGTGACCGTCATAAATGTGAGTCGGTTGCCAAGCATCGGAACGTAAATCGTGTGACCGTGAAGGAGGTGTAATGGTCATAAGTGTGAAAAACAGTCACAAATCGCTTAATTTCAGTGCCGTTGTAACTTCAAACGGTCTTGTAACTCTTGTAAGTCAAGGACAAACTGTATACAGGTTATCTCCTTTATTTACTCTAATAAACCTGTAGAAAGATTTCACTTTGTTGTTGTTAATTGCGAAGTCGTGTCCGACCCATCGCGACCCCATGGACAACGTTCCTCCAGGTCTTCCTGTCCTCTACCATCTTCTGGAGTCCATTTAAGTTCACGCCTACTGCTTCAGTGACTCCATCCAGCCACCTCATTCTTTGTCATCCCCTTCTTCTATTGCCCTCCATCTTTCCCAGCATCAGGCTCTTCTCCAGTGAGTCCTTCCTTCTCATTAGATGGCCAAAGTCCTTGAGTTTCAACTTCAGGATCTGGCCTTCTAAAGAGCAGTCGGGGTTGATCTCCTCTAGGACTGACCGGTTTGAACGCCTTGCAATCCAAGGGACTCGCAGGAGTCTTCTCCAGCACCAGAGTTCAAAGGCCTCCATTCTTTGACGCTCAGCCTTTCTTATGAAGATTTCACTATCTACCCATAAATAAAAAGTTTGTCTTTAAGCCATTGCCTAATCCAGGGGTCTTCAAACGTGGCCCTTTTATGACTCATGGACTTCAACTCCCAGAATTCCTGAGCCAGCCATGCTGAGGGAAAAGGGAGAGGTTTCCAAGCTGAGCCATGCTGGCTGAGGAATTCTGGGAGTTGAAGTCCACAAGTCATAAAGGGGCCAGGTTTGAAGACCCCTGGCCTAATGGTTAGGAGAAAATGACTGCTTCCTTCCCCCCTTCCGCCCCCCCAGCCCCATCCATTGCATAAATGGAAGCTGATCTTATTTCATCACAAGGAATGACAAGTGGACTAAATGGAGGAGGCCAGCTTAGGACGTGTCCTGCAGCCTAGAGTCAGCTCTGTTTATGAACAGAAGGAAGAGGGAGCAGTGCCAAATAAATGCTTGTTAGGGCTGTCATGGCTATTTTCCAAACCATTCATAATTGGCTCTCTCATTTTTCCTGTGAGTGGGACTACCTCGTGGGTCAAGGACTACCTTTCGCTGCCCAATTGTTCTCAGAGGGCACCACCCTTCCGACATAAAATTTGCTTCTAATATTGCCAGTAAAAAGCAATGTTCAGTGTTTTGGGGTCTTTTTTAGGCCTAACAAAAAAATCACTGCTGGACTTTAGAAACTTTAGCAAGATTATTATTATTATTGATCATGGCGCAGTCAGCCAGATGTTCAGACTGGATTTGGCATTTTTGTCTACCTATCGAGTCCTTCCCAGGGACCTGGGATAGGCAGATGTGGATGTTTGATGGTATCACAGATATCGTCGCAGGATGGAAGCAGTTCCTAGGAAGGCCGCCTTTTGCAATTGACTAATGGCGAATTTGTCAATGCCGATGATGGTGTCCAAGTGGTGCTCCAGTTGTTTTGGGATTGCACCCAAGGCGCCTATTACTATTGGTACTACCCTTGCTTGCCTTTGCCACAGTCTTTCTATTTCTATTTGTAGGTTTTTGTATTTTGTTATCTTCTCCAGTTCTTTCTCGTCTATTCTGCTGTCCCCAGGCACTGCCACGTCCACTATCCAGACTTTTTTGTCTTTCTTATCAACAATTGTTAAGTCTGGGGTGTTGTTGTTGTTGTTGTTGTTGGTGTTTTTTATTATTATTATTATTATTATTATTATTATTATTATTATTATTATTATTATTATTATTATTATTACTTCACCGCACGAATTTCCCGACCGAGCTCATTTGAGTAAGGATGCAGTCAAGTCTCAAGATGACCACGAGAGGGCAGAATCACACAGCTCTAAAAAAAGGCTGAAGAGGGCAAGAAAACATCTTGACAACTTTCTATCATTTGTGATCTATGCAATCAACAGGACAGAAGCCGCAAGTTACCAAATGCCAAATTAAAGTTGTGCAGCTTATAATTATTGCCATATGTCACTGTCCCTCTTCTTGATCTTTAATCAGGATCACAACTTTATTTTAACCGCCGAAAGGTTGGCCCTGCTTTTTAGCCTTCTTTAAAAAGCCCCTGGAAATACTGAAATGGGGAGGCAGGCAAAGAATTGGGGAAGGGCTTCGTCTGGGGAAAATGCATGCCGGATTTCAGACAAATAAAACAAAAGTGAGTAGAACTTAATCCAGCTCGTAGCTCCTGGCGCTAGGAAAATGAACGCATCGTAGCCATCAGGAGAAACTCACATCGTAGTAACTTAATATGGCAAGTGCTGCTGAAAATGAGCTAAACAAAAGACAGATTTGAGTGATACCAAAACTCTCCTTCAACCCCCAGAGGAATTCTCTCCCAGGTAAACATTAAAACAGCAACATCTACGACGCAAATGTATCAGGAAGATGGATCATCTAGTGCAGGGGTAGGCAACCTTGGCTCTTTTATGACTCGTGGACTTCAACTCCCAGAATTCCTGAGCCAGCTTGGCTGGCTCAGGAATTCTGGGAGTTGAAGTCCACGAGTCATAAAAGAGCCAAGGTTGCCTACCCCTGGGCTAGTGAATACAATCATCTACCTTTTTGTGGCAAGAGGCTGCAGAGACCCATTCACTTTCAATTTTTATCTGAGCGAGCCTGCATTTTTCAGAATATGGCGATGCCCACTGTGAGCGAAAAGCATGCTCAGAATAATAGAATCGTACAATTGGAAGGGATCTTAGAGGCCATCTAGCCCAGGCAGGGATCCTCAAACCATCCTCGACTAACGGACTCCACAATTGTTTTTTCCTTGCAATTCTCCCGTGATGGAACATCCATGAGTTCATAGGAAGGCAGGCTGGTCGCTTCCCGTACAAGCTCCTGTAGCCATTTTCTCTTCCACAGAGAAGAGACTTACATGCATTTGTTTAGCGGCCATTTGAAACTACAATGGCACTAACAAGAAAGTAACTTACAGCCAGTCCTCACATTTATGACCGTCGCAGCAATTCCCCAAGGCCGGGTGATCAAAATCTGGGCGCTTAGCAACCAGCGGGCTGGAGTCATGGGATCACTATTTGGACATTCCTAGATGGATTCTGTCAATCAAAGTCAATGGGGAAAGCCAGATTTATTTAATCCCCATATGATTCCCTGAACAATTATAGATTCACGTAACCACCACAGCCAACAGGTTGTAAAATCAGGCAGGACACCTGTTGTTTAGCAACAGAAAGTCTGGTTCCCTATAGGTTGAGAACTACCTCCATTTTCTGTCTCACATACACAACGGGAAACGGCAATTTTTGTATACTTACCTAGCCAACTCCTATTTAAATACACCGAAACGAACACGGGAGGAACGGTGAAAAAATCAACCACGGAGTTCACTTCCAGCCAAAACCAGAGTTTGTCGTTGGCTGCTATGAACTGTGGAAGGGGAAAAGAAAAAAGAGATAGAATTAAAACAATGAAATAAAAAAAGGCCAGGAAAACAGAAGTGAGATAGGTGGACCATGGACCAGCCTCATTTGATGAGAGAGACCTTTAAGGAATTGTTCACAATCTTTGAGCCCTGTAGAGAGCAAGCTGGGATCCACATTTGGCATCTAGAATCATTTTGGAACCTTCAGCGGTGCTGTAATAGAGGTGGTTGACTTTGGCCCTGCTTTTTGGTGGATCTAAATCCCAAATCCTTTGCTTAAAGTTTGATTAAGGCATTATCAGGCTGAGAGGCAGTATTCTATCTGGCGTAAGATGCCACAACACACCAAATCAGACACAATCTGCCTCCTCAGGGATTAGAAGAACTTATCTAGTAGGGTAAGATAAACCACAGGCTCACCCCCCAAAGATTTGTTTCAGCCCAACTCTGAGAAGACAATCAGAATAGAGCTGGAAGGGACCTTAGAGGTCTTCTAGTCCAACCCCCCACTCAAGCAGGAGACCCTATACCATTTCAGACAGGTGGCTGTCCAGGCTCTTCTTAAAAACCTCCAGTGATGAAGCACCCACAATTTTTGAAGGCAACTTCTGTTCCACTGGTTAATTGTTCTTAATGTATGTTAGGAAGTTTCTCCTTAATTCCAGGTTGCTTCTCTCCTTGATGAGTTTCCATCCATTGTTTCTTGTCCTGCTTTCTGGTGTTTTGGAAAATAAGTTGACCCCCTCTTCTTTATGGCAAACCCTCAAATATTGGAAGACTGCTATCATGTCACCCCTCGTCCTTCTCTTCATTAAACTAGACATACCCAATTCCAGCAACCGTTCCTTATATCTTTTAGCCTCCAGTCCCCTGATCATCTTTGTTGCTCTTCTCTGCACTCTTTCTAGAATCTCAACATCTTTTTTACATCATGGTGACCAAAACTGGATGCAGGATTCCAAGTGTGATCTCACTGGAAGTTGTATTGCTTTTCAATGTTTGAAATTCACCAAATGGAAAGTATCCCAGAAAGCAGTGTATACATTTCATTCCACTTCTCTGTTTTTATTTGCTTTCGAGGTACATTAAAATCCTGGAATTGGCCACTATTTTCTTTCTTTGGGAATTCTCTTCTGACACATGAACAAAAAAAGTGTTTTGGCAGAGATGGAAGTGAATTATTCCGTTTCCTATCTCTACAGGCACCGTCGACAATCCATTAATATTCTGTAAGTTATTGCAATTCACAGGAAGTTATTCCACCGTTGAACAAGAGGACATTTATAATGCATTCTCTTTTTAATTTGAAATTTATATAGCTATGCACAGCTACTAGATCCATCAGAGAGGAAGAAATAATTATTTTATTTATGGATAATGGATACATAATACGTAACTATATCCTTTATTATAGGAATGATATTGGTAGGGAAGTAATTATGCTTCAGAAAGTACAGTAATGTGAGTTCCACTGTTATTATATCATAAAATGTTTATGACATTCAATAAATTTTAAACTTTCCCCAAAAGTACATTTGCCTTATTCCTTCCCTACCTCCTTGCAAAAAAACAAAAAATGTTATTAGCCTGTTAGGAGAACTAGCAGAAGAGAAACATGTCATTCTCCTAGCACTTTTCTTCTTTTCCTTTCCTTTCCTTTCCTTCCATTTTCCTTTCCCTTCCTTCCTTCCTTCCTTCCTTCCTTCCTTCTTTCCTTTCATATCCTTTCCTTCCATTTTCCTTTCCTTTCCTTTCCCTTCCTTCCTTCCTTCCTTCCTTCCTTCCTTCCTTCCTTCCTTCCTTCCTTCCTTCCTTCCTTCCTTCCTTCCTTCCTTCCTTCCTTTCCTTTCTTTTCCTTTCCTTCCTTCCTTCCTTCCTTCCTTCCTTCCTTCCTTCCTTTCCTTTCCTTTCCTTTCCTTTCCTCACCTTTGTGCTTCCATGACTCTTCTAGACCAGGTGTCTTTCAAACCTGCTCCACCACCTCTGAAAACATGTCTACTTTGAAAGGTAATATGCACATGTATGCAGTTGCACGTGTTCCAGAAAGGCTAATGGAGAGAGGTTGACTAAGCCCCCTCCTCAAAGAACACAGAATAACAGAGTTGGAAGGGGCCTTGGAGGTCTTCTCATCCAACCTCCTGCTCAAGCAGGAGACCCTACGACATTCCAGACAAGTGGCTGTCCAGTCTCTTCTTGAAAGCCTCCAGTGATGGAGCACCCACAACTTCCAGAGAAAGGCCTTCCAGCAATTCTTCTCACTGTCAGGAGATTTCTCCTTCATTCTAGGTTGGATCTCTCCTTGATAATCTTTCATGATTCTCAATCATCCAGGTCAAGGTTGTTCCGAAGGTGTTTTTTCAAAAGGCAACTGGACATTCTGGGTTTTTTCCTTGAAAATGTTTCACTTCTCCTCCAAGAAGCTTCTTCAGTTCATCCAAGAATTGAAGAAACTTCTTGGATGAGGTGAAATGCCTTCAACACCCACCCCCCCCCTCCCAAGGAAATCCAGTTTCCATCCATACTTCTTATCCTGCCCTCAGGTGTTTTGGAAAATAAGTTGATCCCCTCCCCTCTGTGACTGCCCCCCAAGTACAAGAAGACAGCTATCATGTCACCCCTAATTTTTCTGTTCCCCAGACTAGACATACCCAGTTCCCACAATCGTTCATCATACGTTTTAGCCTCCAGACCCTTGATCATCTTTGTTGCTCTTCTCTGCACTACTCTTTCTAAAGTTTCAACATCATTTTTTGCATTGTGGTGACCAACACTGGACACAAGTGTGGTCTCATCAGTGCATGTCTGTGTGTGATGCGTGGCACATGGTCCAGAAAGATGAATGGACAGAGTGAAACTACTCCTCATCCCAACAGGGCTTTGAGCAAACCCTTCACGTCGTTTGTTCAAAAAAGGCAGACAAGCTAAAGAGCTTCCATCGGTATTTACACGTTCATCAAATTTGTAGATTCCCAGATGAAAATTCCAGACAAAGACAATGCTGCAACTTATTACAATTTGCAACCCACCCACCCCCCAAAATAAAAAAGGTATGGAAAGGGGAGATACTTACCCGCAAGCCGAAGTAGAGCAGGAAGAACACATTAAAAGCCATGTCTATCTGTAACGTGAAATCTTTGTAGAAATTCTGGCAAGATTCTATTGGGCTATTTAAGAAAGAAAAGAAAAGAAAAGGTCAACGTTATTTGGAGGAAGGAAACCAACATAGAGAGAGAGAAAAAAAATACAGTGAAAATTAAAAATTAAGATTTAGGTGGCTCCAATCCTGTCAGTCTTCAGGAAACTTGGGCAGTGGGACAGTGTGATAGATTAGCGCAGGGCTCTTCCAACTTGGCGCTTTTATGACTTGTGGACTTCAACTCCCAGAATTCCTCAGCCAGGCACACGTGCCTGGCTGAGGAATTCTGGGAGTTGAAGTCCACAAGTCATAAAAGCGCCAAGTTGGAAGAGCCCTGGATTAGCGCATCTGTTAGGAATAGATGATGCAACAAATGAACTCCGGAGTTATATTATTGGCATGTTTGTTCATGGATTCCTTTTCAGGATGTTATATTCTTTTGCAATATTAATTTCCCCGGGCTTGCATTTGATAAGGCAGGCCTCAACCTACAACCATAATTGAGCCCAAAATTTATGTTGCTAAGCAAAACACTTGCTCTGCCCCATTTTACAACTTTCCTTGCCACTGTTGGTAAGGGAATCACTGCAGCTGATAAGTTTGTTAAGTGATTTTGACTTTGTTTGTCAAAAGGTCGTAAAAGGGGATCCCATCATCCTGGGACGCTACCACCGTCATAAATATGAGCCAATTTAGCCAAGTGTTTGGATTTGGATCACGTGACCGTGGGGGAAGCTGCGATGGTCGTAAGTGTGAAAACTGGTCACAAGTGACTTTTTTCAGTGATGTTGCAACTTTGAACAGTCACTAAATGGAATGTCGTAAGTGGAGGACAATCTATACAGTAGTGGCCAAAATTGTGGAAACCTTTTGGGAAAAGTGTATTTTTTAGAAAGGAAAAGGGTATTTTTGAGGTTGGATGGCTAATAACACCACTTTTTTTTGGAATAGTACCATAAAATTATATATCAATGGAAAGATAATTTAATCAAGAATGTAATGCAACATAGTTTGTTCAATTATCTGTACTGTATTCTATGAAAAGGTATAGCCAAATAACCAGAAAAAGGAAGCACAACTTGCTCAGGTTGATCTCAGGTAGCTTTCCTTCATCTGATTGTAGCCAATGAGCATGAGTGTTTAGAGAGCCAATCGGGTGTCATCTTGTTTTGGCAATGAGCCAATCAGATCACGGTAGGACCCAGTTATTGATGTCATGTATCGAAGCTGAGAGGAGGACATTGGTCAGTGTGTTATATGATCGCTATCAAGTTCGTTGGGGTTTTTTTGTGTTCTTTCATTGAGCGAGCTTGTAAAATATAATAAAATTAAGGTCATGGTGCAAAGAGTTGACTGGTCGCCCAGAAAGCGATGTAAAACAGTATTATTAAGTAAACAAGGCTACAGTGATAAAGAAATTAGAAGAAAAATGGGTGGAAACTTAACCAAAGGTGGCATTTCTACTGTACACTTTTTCCAGAAGGTTTCCACAATTTTGGCCACTACTGTGTATGCTGCCTACAGCCATTAGTACACAATTTGGGCAGCTCTATAAATCTCATAAATAAATAAAGCCAGTTGACCACCGTCATTATCTAGATAATTCAGTCGCTGCTATTTTGATTCTAGCTACTTTCTTTCTCAAAGGCTCAGAAGCCCGGTCCCCGTAGTTTCCTTTGAGTATCTATTACTATACCGAACTGTTGGAGACTCTTATTCTTCACTTCCTCAGTCAACGGTTGAAACAGAGAAACATGCAATCTTTTCCAAGGAAGGACAAGCAAGGGAGACTGCAACCCCACATTAACCCTTAAAGAACTGACTTTCTTCTACAACACATTTAAAAGACACGTATCAAGATTGTCACTTGGTGGTTGCCAAAATTGTTGCAACCGTTTCGTCTCCTCCGTGATGGGGACTTTTGCACCTAGTAGTTCCCCAAAGAGCAATTTCTGTTATGGAGGCTGTGAAAAAACTAAGCCGGACCAGATTCTTTTCTCAACATTTGGCCATCTTAAGGAATTTATACAAGGTTTTCTCTATTATTTTTTGCCAGCCCAATGCAAATGAGTCCATGTTTCCATTCGTTTGACAGTGAAAAGGAAACTCCCACATTCCATGTTCCCTGGGTGAGAAATTCTTACAGGCGACTGGATCAATATCAAGTTTGAAAGAAATAAAAAGAAGGATCCCATTGCGAAGGAAATAACAGAATGAAAGCCCCAGAATTAAAAGCAGGACTCTAAGGGTTAATTTTCACATGCAGGTTAAATGATTTTTCCCCTCCTTTTCTCAAACAGTCATTGCAAATGTAGATTTTATTTTTCCGTGAAGAGCTAAAGCATCCTGTATTCAGTTTAGCATCCTGTATACAAACGGCTGTCATGCTCTCCTTTAAGCTACCAACTTGTGTGGATTTTTAAAAAGTAGTTTTTTTCATGAGATTCCTGCAAAATGCTTGAGAAGACATCCACCAGATAAGCAGCACATCCCAATACTTGCACAATATTTGGTGGGCATGAAACATTTAACGGTCCGAGATGATTATTCATTGTGTGTAAAAAATAAATGGATAAAAATCAGTTAATATTAGGATGAAAAGAAATTCAAGGCAATAGAAGGAAGTCTTATTGCAAGACTGGATTGCAATAAATAGATCACAGGGCCTCATTCCAGTTAGTATGGGGGCATTTCTGCAAAATCCGAGGTTAATCGACAGGCAAAATTCTACGCATTCTAGTAACTTGTAGTCTCACTAAAGGCAGTGAGTGGATTAGCTACACATGCAGTCAATTTCCAGTTTACTTGTAAACAGCTCAAACAGTTCTAACAGTAGCATGCCCTTTCTTAAATTCAAGCACTTCGTAGCAGCAAACATTTATTTCCCTGATGGACAACGACAAAAGATTTGTCTCACCAATGCATGAAGCTGTATCCAAAGTGATTAAAATCAACAAACTATTTTATTTTCCCCCATCAGATGCCATACACTGATCTTCTACAATAAACTGAACTTGGGTGGGAGGGTGTGAGCAAACCAATATTATATTTGTGGTCTAAAGGCCTGTGCAGCTGGCAAGACCGAAGAAGTACAAAATGACATGGATTTTAGGAAGGTATTTTCAAAGCTAAATTAAGAGTAAACAGGCAAAATTTTAAAAACTTCAAAGGTATTTCCCTGACTCAATTGTAGAAAGTTTTTTTTAAAAAAAACAACAAATGTGGAATTTCTCTGATCCATTTTTTTGCCATAACTCTTATTGTTAAATTGTTGTTCCTGAGAAAGCCTTTCCCTTCACTCACCCATAGTTTCCCCACCACCTCTTATTATCAAGAAAGCAATATAATGTTAAAAATAAAAATCTGGGAGAAAAGTCAGAAAAGTGACCGTGGGAGCCTGAAGCCTTGTCAAGGACACCAGAACAGGTGTGGATTTGAAGCAGACGGTTCCCATAACAAAGTGGACTCATTGACGTGGATCACGTAAGACGTTGGCAGTTTGGCTGGGACAAACTATTGTTTAAGTCTGGGAACTGGTGTGGGAACCTCAGAGTTAGTTTTGCTTCGACATAACCATGCAGTAAGATTTTTGGAAACAGAATGAACCAGAAATTTTTATTGGGATTCTTGACCTGGATATTGACAGTACCTCTGTAAATCCATTCTACTCCCTTTTAAATGATCGTGAAAACCTGCCTGCCATTTAATTCTGTATTTTGGATACAATGAAGCATTCAGAAGAATTGTGTGTCTTCACTCAACATCCATAGAATTTTATTTCATTGTTCCTTCATCATCCAGATTTGTAGACATGCAGAAAACGTTATTCATCATTGACTTTGGGGTCAGGCTACACTGGGTTCACTGACTGATCCTTTCAGGATGGCCATAACTTTCCTAAAGTCGCCAAGCATCTAAACTCAAGGAATCAAGTTACATTAAGATGTATTTTTCACAGCTTTTAAAATATTTTGATGATGGTGGTGATGATGAAGAAGAGGGAGAGGAGGATAAGCTTAGGATGGGAGGTCTCTGGATAGCATTAATCCAGAGATACTTTGGTAGAGATGGGGCATAGCAGAGAGCTGAAAGTTAGCAACAATTTCTACTTGTCACTGAATGTCCTACTCTAGCAGAGATGTGTTTTGATTGCTACTCAATGAATATGACCCTATGAATCATATTGGTTTTTCCCAGATTTTTAGGAATCCAAGCTCAATGATACTTACAGAGGCCTTGTAGATCCTACAATTCTAAATATGTTATTTTCAGATCTTAAAAACAAGTTAGCAAAACGACTTAGCATTTTTATCTTTCCGGAGCTCACAACTCTGCAGTAGACAGGACCACTGCCTCCGCATACATACAGAGCAATCTCTACACTTTTTTAAACCCAAATCAGCAAATTTTCATACAGCCCCATCATGAAACTACCAAACCTATCCACTATAAAGCCTCCATCATCTCATACCAAAAGGGGAAGTCTATGAATGACTTGCAAACTCAACGTACTCCAAGGAATTGCTTTGATATAACAGGCAATCCATTTATTTATTGATCGTGCATCATATTTATCCCATTTATTTATCATGTTTAAGAACCACCCTTCACAGAGGGCGGTATACAATGTGGAAACAGTTCAGTCCAATGTTTTCTTCTTTCCTTCCTTCCTTCCTTCCTTCCTTCCTTCCTTCCTTCCTTCCTTCCTTCCCTCCCTCACCATCATGATTTGCCTAAAAAAGCCAATTTGAAACAAATAACTATTTTGCAGATCTGTCAGACTATTAAAAGTAGTATCATACTGCCTACAACTGGTTTCATTCTAATTGCAGACAGCAGGTACATAATTAATTGCCAATAATTTCTTCCTTCCCAGCTATAAACTTTCTGGAAAGTAATTAACAATGACTTGAAGAAGTTTTAAGAAGCCGTAAATTAACTATTCAATTAACTATTAGAAAAATGTGCTGACTTGACAATCTCTTCCACGGAAGCTTAAATAAAACCAGGGCTTTTTTTGTCATAGAA